ACGCCCGCCACCGACTCGTCCCGATGAGAATGGCGACGTCCACTGTCACATAGAACGTATAGTGAGACGATCGTCACCAGGGTCAGACCCGATATCTGGCGAAGTGGCGGGGATATTCCGACTCCAAAAACTCGTGGGAGTTTGAGGCGCCACTTCGGCAAAATTGCCCAATTGCCGTGGACGCTTTTAATCGGAACGATCAGGACGCCTTGCGTCATCAGACGCCCCACGCTTCCCGGCATTAGCCAAGGAAGTAGAAGGGCCATGAGCTGAGCTCAAGCAGTGGCCCTAAGCTCTTGCAGTCGCAGACACAGAGCTTGCGGGAGCGTTAGGGGTTGACTCATACGTCACAGGGCGACAATCTGAAGGGAGTCGACGGCGTGCCTTGAGTTTGGCAAACTAAAATCGGAGGTGTCGCTCCACACGCACATCTACTTCCTTGCGCCTCAACTGTTAGGCATACAGTGAGGAAAGTTTTCGGTGCCGATGCACCCATCGCCTAAAGAGCACTTCGTCATCTGTATCGCTTTCGCCAGGGGCGAGCACTACAGGTATCGTCCGCATTGCGGGTACACGAGAGCCACCTCGTTGAGCACGTAGACGAATGCAATAAGCGTCCAGCGGAATTTCTTCTGGGACCAAGAAACGAGCTCGAAGAGCATTCCGTTTGGCAAGCTCATCTTCCATTATGTGGGCGCGTAGCGATCGAGTTACTGCGTCCTTCGCTTCCAAAGCGGGATTCACATGGCGGAAGTCATATTCCACACGAGGGTCAATGACCGACCGTGGATGGGCGCGTTTATTGGCAGCGTCAACCTGCCGCCTCTGCTCCATGTCGAGGTGATTGGTGATTACACCACGTTCCTAAGTTGACGAGAGGTCAGAGAACGGACATGGGGTCCGCTAGGCACAAGCAGGGCTCGTATCACGCTGCTGGTGCAGCTCGCCTTCCTCGCCATTCCATCCGGGAAAAGGAGTGTCCGACTCGTAGTCAACCACCTCCATATCCTCAACGAGGTGACTCGTCACCGATGCTCGGGATCATCGAGCCTAGAATTTACATCCCTCGATGCCGCGAAGATACGGTCCGACATGGCACCGGAACCAGCAAGACTTGGAGACTTCGGTGTCATTGACACAGGGCTCATTGAGCACAGAAGTCGTTTCGTTCCAGCGCAGTGTTTAACGGACACGCAAACCTCGTTGAGGCAATAATCGATTGGAATTGTAAATGTTCTCAATCTTAATGGGGGAGAGTGTAACGGGGTTACACATACCCTGGTAACAGGGTTTTGTGTCACACCAGATGGGCATGGTGTGGCCGCACCCAAACCAGAATACGGTACGGGGCTGGATACCCAGTAGTTATACATGTATTTAGATTTTACTGTCCATATTTAAGAAAATAAATGCATTTAAAACGAGGCGGCTTTGCCGCAGATAAATATAAATAAAGTCAGTTCTGGATTAAATCGAAGAGTTGAACAGCCTTGGGTTAAGGCTATAATTACTTTTGGAGTAAGCGGATTGCGATTCGCTAAACTCGTACTTGTGTTGAGTATAGAACGAAAGGTCGGTGACCTAACTTACACTTCCTCAAAGCGCAAAGCTCCGGCAACCCGCTGCTGAAGCTGTATCAACGTGACAGTAAAGAATTTATACGCGCTTGAATTCAACAGCTAATAAAACTTTTGACCTGTTGACTTTACCTCATATGATTCGCTGTCTTTCTTTATTGAACAAAGAATAAAAATCAGCTGCAAAAAGGATGGGTGTCTTCTCTTCCAATTCTAGACTCAACGATGTCGTTGTGAGCCGTAAAATGCAAAGCCTGCGTTTGCGGCTCCACGTAAGCATCATCAATCTTGTTGCCATGCATCAGGCTAGCTGGTGTCGAAGAACTTGTCCATCCGTTGGGGCGAAAGCGCGCGATATTTCTAATATTTTTGGGGAGGCTGGTATTATGGTGCTGACGATAATTTTTGAGTCTTAATGGCACTCTCTCGATAGTTCAGAATGTTCTTGCTTTATTTGAATGGTTCTCTTGACCGAAGACAACGCAGAGCTGACACATGACAGCTACAGCGTCTCCTGAAATCGGGTCCTAGACAGCAATACCGAGTCCGTATTCTGTCAATGTTTAAAACAAAACGGTGTCATTCGCGATCTGAAAGATGCTTTTCTTTACCAATTAATTATCTAATGCCCTTTGGTAGCATCTTCAGTAGCAATGAAACTATTGTGATATTTAGGGCATGACGTTGTTTTACAGAATCTAGAACCACAATACCACTCGCGACTGAGATAAAAAGCTTTTTAATGTTTTTTTTAAATCACAACAGCATTCAAGGCATCAATTTTTGGACGTTTTCGAAAATGTGATGTGTCACAACACCATAAGTCGGTGATACTGCATAAATGCTTGTTAGTACAATAGCCACATGCAAAGTGTCAGTTTTACGTGTCAGATTTAAACAATGACCATGCGGTAATAAATACAAACAAAAAGAGATTAAACATGGAATTGCAACTTCACAAATTGCTAAATAACTCATTGCGAAATGTCCTCCACATCATTGTCCCATGTAGTAACCACTACAGGCTCCATCATCCAGGCTATAATCGTAATAAATTAAAGAAACACGCCATATTTTTTCAATTGCAGATTTAGGGATGTCCAAGTCTGCGTCACCACACTTTTTGAACACAGTCAGCATTTGTGTATTTACTATCCCTAGAACACGAGACTCTTTAGGTGTTTTCTTTTGAAATTCAAGATGTGTGATGTATATCTGCTCATGACATCTGAATTACAAATGTGTAATTTAAGTGAAATTTTCTATCTCGAAGTGTAAAAGGGTCCATAATGTCAAAAAATGTAGAGGAATTCATTTATCTTGTGATCGGGTGTTCCGCCCCAGACCCCGAATTAATTGGGCTAAAGTTTAATGAGACCATTGCAATTAGACGTCGGCAGCTGGTTCCACCGATCGCTTCGGCCAATCGCTTGTGTACAAAAGCGAGTCGTTTGTCGTACGAATCGTGTATGTGCCTAACAATGTGCTTGTCCCCTACATCTGACTCTTTTTGCGCCTATAAGGCACCGGACCACATTACTACATTTTCGACTGCTACCGCTCACTACATAAAGTCATTGACCTTCTTGACGGAACTTTTCTCCGTTTACGCTAGACTTGATATCAGGTGACAGCATAGAGAATTGAATTTGTGAAATTTACGACAACAATATACGAACATTCAAGAGAAGTGCAAAGGTCCGAGGCAGGACAATGCAAGTCCACCGACGGTGGCTCACACTGGTGTTAGTGATGACGCTTAGGAGTTTATTTGTCGATGCACAGGTTTTTACAATGCAAAGTCTTGATGGAGAACCAGCGTCATTACCAAATTTAAATGCAGAATCGAATGGTGAAAATTCGTCAACTACACCGGGACGGACATGGATACCGATTACAGTTGCACCTACGGAAGCACCGACTGTACCAGGAACACCGGAACCACCACCCGTGAATCCAGAACCAGTTAATGTAGATAATGCAGCTAATGCACCAAAGACACCACCATTACCACCACCACCACCACCACCGCCGCCACCACCTTCAGAACCAAAACCACCGACTGAAAATGTGGTCGATTCGTCCCCCGGTTCGAATGCTGAACCACCTGTTCAGAATCCAGTAGAAGATAGTGCTCAGGATCCACCTATAGATGAAGAAGAACCCAATGATGTCGCGCCATCAAGAAAAAAAAAGAAAGAGTTTGTCTTTACAAAATCACCGTTTCTTGAACAGACGACACCCGTGCCAAATGGTATTCGCACAGCAACAGAAGACGTAGATCTTGACGAGTCAGCATCTAGAGACACAAACAATGATTTACTAGTGGAAAAACCGCCTCCACAACCAAAGCGAAAACAATCGAATGTTCAAACTAAAAATGATTTCGCAAATTTGGCAACGGTATCAAATGCAGGTTCAAGTGCTAGCTCACGCGACTTTGAGTCAAATAATGAAGATTTAGATCCAACAGAACAGGTCATAAAGAAGAATGTCGAAGACTCTACATCGGATATTCCAACCACAGATGATTCAACTCAAACGTCTGAGCTACCAGCATCGTCAACATCGTCGTCGTTAGCGGAATCATCGATGGAATCAGGCTCAGCGGCCTCGGTCCTGACTGACACTGGTGCGGCCAACCAATCGGTTATGTCGAATACTTTATTACTTGGACTCATGCTCGGCGGTGCAGTTGCACTCATACTGATTGTCGCTGTATTCGTATATATGAAAACCAGTAGTGCTACTGAAGAAGAGGACGACATGGCGCGTGTGCTTCGAACAGGACACACTGATGAAAATCGGGTTGCCGCACAGTCATCAACAATAGCTGCAAACTATCACAAGAATCACGTGATGTCACCAACAACTCATAGCGAGGACGATTATCATTCAAATCAAGATGGACAATACGATCAAGAACCTTATGGACACCCTGGTCAATTGAGTATCGGTAGACTCACATATAATGATCCAAATCTTGACATGTTGACACCACGAAGTCAAATTGCATTAGCGCATTCTCAAATGTCATTACCTCCAATGGCTCAATCAGGGTATTCTCATGGAAGTAGTCAATACTCTGATTACTCTGCACAGTCTTCAATTTACGATCATAGTGGTTATAGTGCAGCTAGTAAAGGCTCGAGTGCATACTCTGGTATACATCATGGAAAAGAAGAGAGCGATGTTCCGAGCTCATCAGAAGATGAAAGTGATTTTGAAGGAGATTCAATTCAAGATATGTCAAATGTATGGAAAAGTGCGGGTCGAAATAAAGATTCAATGTTGGATGATTCGCAATTTAATCCAGCAGATTCTCGATCTACATCAGCTAGTGATTATGCGAGTAAGAAACGATTTCAAGAATCGGAGTATACAGAATATCGCATGTCGAATGGATACGAAGATAGCTTTGCAGCTACAAATAGCGATTACTACAATAGTGGATATGACAAGAGTGGATTTGATAAAAGTGACTATGACAAAAGTGGCTATGACGACAGTTTTGTCAGTGGAAAGAGCTTTCAAAGTAGTGGATTTAGCGAATACGATCAATCTGTAGCACGCAGTCAGCGCAAAAATAGTGACTCGTCATCGTTCTATCGAGGAAACGAATCTCGCTTTACAGACAAGTCGTTCTATTGAGCAAGTTTTTTCATCAAGTAATGCGTTCAAGTTTAGTAAAGTCAAGTGCTCTGATTGTAGACAGTTAGTTCTCTCCGTAGAAACGTAAATGCGTATATGTCATTTTCCAATGACTTTTTCGAACGAGGAAATGATTTCAAGAGAGTGGAAAAGAGGATGAAAGTATCAACTTGAACCTCTTTGCCTTTGTAAACGTCGTAATTAATGGCAACTAATTTATGAGTTATGGTCACCGTCATTATTGTTCACATTTCATCAATATCCTTAAAAAGTTAGGATACTACATTTAAGCTTAAACAGAGTTTTCATTTATATATGTAGTATATTCACTTTATAGTATAATAATCTCGCTGTGTTTGAAGGTTTCACAATGAACAAAAGCAATGGCAAGCAAACTTCTTTTTTTCGAAAGAGATGAGCAAAACATCGAATTGTAAAGAAATTTAAACATACACTTGTTGTCATGACGTCAAATAACCCAGTCCCTATCCCTAAGGTTGTATTTTACTGTGAAAACCAATCCAAACTGACGTGGTATACACTATCTGATAACCTCCTCTTCCGCGGCAGAGACTACGTCACCCCCTACTGGTCTCGCACCTCTTGCTATTGCCTTTAGTGCGTTCAAAGTGGCGCATACATTACGTTTATCCGCTGGAATTCGGTTTTTGTACTGATTATCAGCTTAAATATCAAGAGATCGACCACCAAAGAACATTGTTAAGAGAATCTTCGCAACACGCATAATGGCGGACGGCCAAGATGTGCAAACTCTAAAGATGAATTGTAAGTGGCAATCTATTTCTTTGCCATAAAACAAGTTTTGACCCAAAATTTGTGTCTACAAGTGGCAAGAAAGCACGAGGTTGACCCCGATCGTCGACGTCCGTCCACATTGTGCTTAGAACCACCAAGTAAGTGGCCACAAAACGCTCTAATTTGTCTTTTGCAACTTTGCCACTGACCTAATTTGGCCACAGAATCAGATGTACGCAAGACCACATCCTTCGTACGTGCTCGCACTTCGGGCGTCAATCGCCTACTCCGCTCCAACACTAGCAGTATCGAAAGCCATATTTCATCTATAAATGGCTATAGTAGCAATGCTGATAGCAATATTCCAAGTGATGCTAATAGCAAGCTCATAACGAATTTATCAGGTGCTACATCAGTCCATGCAACTGAGTCACTTACCAATATAGGACAAATTAATGTTTCTTCACCCATATTCAGTGGCAAAGCGAATGAAGATGGTTTTGTTCCTTATCTTGAGCCAAAATGGACCCATGTAGTATTAAAAATGACGGCTTTCTCTGAAGATGATATTGTGACGAGTTTTCGATTTGACCTAAATGGAGGTGGGATTGGTAAAAGTACCGAGAATGTGGCAAGTATACCAGCCGATAAGTTATTGGCCGATAAAGATCACGCACGGGTATTATACAATGGCGGACGATTTTATTTGTCCAATGGTGATAGTACAAGTGACACATTTGTACGTCTTAGTCCTGTTGGAATTAGCGACGATGATACTGGAGATAGAATGCAGTGGCCACTTGAGCCTCAAGTAGCGTTTCGAGTAGGCAAGTCAGATTTTGCTGTCACAGCATTTCACGATTCGTCACAGACACTTGAAGTATCAGCATTAAGTGGTAAATTATCAGGTATGCAATTTCGAATTGGTCGCGAAGGGGCAGGTATTGGTCGTTCAGCGGACAATAAAATTCATACTGGCGATGGTGAATTGTCTCGAAAACATGCAGCCATTTGGTTTGATGAATTAACAAATCAATTTTATCTCATTGACTTAAATTCTACGAATGGGACATTTATGAAACTCGTAGGAAGTTATCAAGAACCTTATCGTTTGGAAATTGGTGATGATTTGCTCGTGGCACAAACATGTTTGACGGTTAATCGATTCGATTTTGGTGCACATTCTGACATGGGAACGCGAAAACACATGGAAGACGCACATACAATCATTCAAGACTTGTGTATTGAACCTCTGAGTCGTTTGGGTTTGCATCCGCAATCATTTTTTGCTGTCTATGATGGACATGGTGGCAATGAAGCGTCATCATTTCTTAGCGACGTCCTGCATCAAAATATTATTGAGGCATTTTTCATGTCAAGAACGGACTTAAAGCCACTAGTAGCAGCGTCGTTTGATGAAGTGCAGTCAATGGTTAAAAAAAGATTGACAGAAGCGTTTGAACGGACGGATGAAGAATTTTTGAACGAGTCAGAGCGACCACAGGCGGGAAGTACAGCTACAACAGCGTTTATTGCAGGTAAATGGTTATTTGTAGCAAATGTTGGAGATTCACGAACAGTTTTGAGCCGCAATGGTATTGCCGAGCGTCTGTCGAACGACCATAAACCTAGTCGATCGGATGAAGCGCAACGTATTCGAGAGATTGGCGGTTTTGTCATTCATGGGCGAATTATGGGCGAACTTGCGGTATCTCGTGCATTTGGAGACGCACCGTTTAAAACATTTGATTTGACTGAGCCGTCATTGCAAGATGTGGACTCAAAGCCACGGAGTGAGTATGACTCGCAAGAATTGCCTGTGAATCCAAATGACATATTAAAAGGCCCACTTGTGATCCCGACTCCTGAAATTACTGTCACTGAATTGACAGAAGAGTGTGAATTCCTCATTTTGGCCAGTGATGGTCTTTATGATGTGTTACAAGATCAAGAGGCTGTGGATTTGATGCGTCGAAAACTTGTTGAGCTTAGTGATGTCCAGCGTGCTGTAGAGGTAGGTTGGGGTACACTCTGCTGAGGGTACGCAATGTTCATATGACAAATGATGGGTGTTTCTGTGTCATATTTAGGCTGTGATTGAGCATGCAATTTTTCACCAACGCTCGACCGATAACGTAACGTGTGTTGTCGTCATGTTCAAAGAGGCGAAAGAATTAATTAAGTAATTGGTATAGTCGTAAGCACATACGTTGGCAAGACGGGACATAGATGAATAGGATAGACAGACAGATGGTCATAACGACACCAAGAAACAATCACACAGTAAAATTTATTGTAATATTTCAGTTACGTTTACTCAAGACTAAAAGTAGCTGGTGAAGTAACGATATGACGCAACGGAGAGTGATGGACACTTGAGTCAATAGGCGACAAACATTCCGACGCCGATCGCTGTAGTGCAATCGGTGAAGAACTCTGAGCTACAAAATTCTTGATATGACGACAACGACGCATCGTCTTGGGCTTCGAACGACTTTCAAGCGCTGATACGTGCGTCCCATCGTCAAAATCAAAATGCACTTTGTACGTACGTGTGTCGACATCACCACTATAGTCTCCCGCACATTCAACACGAATGTTGGTAATATGGCTCATGTTACGTTCAATTGATCGATTGTACCGCGCATAGAGACACAATGGTTTACTTGATCGTACAATAAGTTGTGAAGAGTGTTTGTTCATATAAAACGTCTCAATCTTGCCATTTACAATTAATGCAAAGCCAAGTACGTAAATCACAACAGCCACAAGATACTTCCACCACGTTGTATCACGAGGCATTTCATTAGCGTCTACATTTCTTGTCTTGTAGACACTAAGAACAAAAATAGAAGCGCCAAGCATAATGACAACGCCAAATACCCAAATAGGCCACGGGTAGCTTACAACTCGTAGCTAAAGCAAATAAAGAGAACGTATCATTTACAAGACTCAAGTGATTTGTACATGACACATATAAACTTACCTCTTGCCCAAACGTACTATTTGTACCAAAGAGGTTATCAAAGTCATTCTTTTCGTCGTCACCTTGCGTTTTTGCATTCCATCCGACACTTTTTCGACCCAAACGCTTTGATTTTTTTGTCATAGCCACATGCCAGCGTTCTAATTGCTTAACAACTAGTCGTTTCTCCTTTGTCATTGGTTCTTTCTCTTCTTGTGTACGTCGAGGCATCTTACTATTCTCGACTTCTGTTGAATTAATGACTTCAATATCATTGTCTTCGTCAATTATATCACTGACGAAAATTGATCGAAAGTGGCGACTGTCTTCGGACTCTGGTATTGTCGTCATAGTTGCATTTCGAAGCTTTGTTGGTGATAGCGCCATGACACCTTTTCTTTTTACTCTTGAAACAAATTGAGCGTCTTTAAAAGAAACTGGTGCGATAAATTTGGCGTGTCAAGAAGTAGGAACGAAGCCAAAAATACGAGCAAACTAACTCTGGAATAATTGAATTTGGCAGAAATGCGACGGCTTCGACGCCGAAGTACGTTTAAAGTATCTTGCTTACGAGACGGCACAGATTCTGATCCATTTATTATGCGATAGAACCAAACGCTGAGCAGGTTTGTGCTAGCTTAGAGACTTTTGCGATGTAACCACTATTTTCTAGACAACTTTATTCGCCGCTAAACCTTAGATTCAAATTTTGAAGCCATTCATCATCACTTGAATATTTATAACTTCGTACTTGCCACAATGAAGTCTCATGCTTGGCTAAATTCTTTATGCGAGATAGTGTCATTCAGCACGAGCTGCAGATAAACAAAGTTATAGGAATCGCTTATTGCAACTTCATCTTCGTAGGATAATCTAAAGCTGTCATCAAGTCCATCTCCAAGTTGTTGCAAAGTGAATTTAGAATGAACACCACCATCTTTGAAGATATCTCACGCGATGTTATTAGAGCATTGCTCGCTTCCATCGTTGTCGACATAATACTCATACATCCGTCGTAAGTTGATTTTGGGTTTTTCTGCCAACCTAACCAGACGCTGTGCTGATAGTATATATTTTGCATCTTACAATCATGAGCACTCCTTAAAAAGCTTACACTGGAAATATCTCCATCTTAACAATTAAGGTGAGAGCACAGGGCTTGCAGTGACACGTCTATTATGACTTGAATGAAAAGCCTCAATGGGTATCGGCGAGGCGTGTAAGCAACGTCTGGTACTCGAATGTCCGTATTGAAAACGAAAAATCTTTGCGATGCTGTCACTCTGCCACCTTTTCTGGACCACTTTGACCAGTTTTCAAGTTGCTGGGCAAGTTTGGGGATCACCGTCTCATTTCCATACACAACCATTCGATAGAAGATGTAGCGACCTTCGTTAATGAAGAACGACTGGCTGCTCGCAGAAAATGGAATCACTAGCGGACCAAGCTTTCTCATATAATTGTCTTAGCTTGGTAATACTTGAAGTGACGCATTGTTTTTATCTTGAAACCATGTATGAGTTGTAAAAGCGTGTCTTTGCAAGTTTTTACCGTGCACATTCTTGCTATTTGTTCCACACACTACCTTCAAACGATATTTCTAGCGCTTGTTGTATGTAAATGATTTAGATCCTTTGTTTGTTTGGAATGAGCAGCTTATTGATCTCGTCCTTTACAGCACGTTCGGACATGTCAGCTTGCGACAATGACTCGTTATACAAAAGATTTCATATTTCCATTTACCAAACAGCAAAAAAGCTAATATAAATCTAAAGCAGAGCTTGAATAACCAGACACGCAGCTCTTTCTGCATCGTTAAGAGGACAAATTATTTCCTGTGAGTGTATTAACGTTGTCTTATTATTGTAGCACCATATCTTCCCGATCGACAATAAACAACAAAGGAAATGACAGAAAACCAAAACCTTAGAAAGATTTACTTTTTAGCTTATTACAGCTTATTGTGGACTTAAGATCCGCTAGACATGCCAGTAGTTTTGCCACGTCCAGAAATATCCTGGAGTTTAGTTTATTCAATTGAAAGATATGAGGGAATACAAAAGGTCAAGTCAGTTGAGTCATTATGGACACATTGTGGCGAGCCCTATGTTCTCACTATTATTATTGAGATTGTGGATCTCCCCGGGGTAAGGCTCTCAGTGAGACCATCTCGATTGGCAGAGTGCGAAGTAAATACTTTCACGGGCTCGAAGTGTCAACGATAGTTGACATGTCAGTTTGTGAAAAAGATAATTTTCTGCGAGAATGATACTCCTATTAGCTTTTAAGTGTCTGTGAATGAGTGACAAGGAGATCAATCGAAGAGTATGTGACTCAATTCTTAATACTTAAATCCTGAATCAAGCCCGATATCATGTGAATGAATAATTCAAGTTTTGACACTCGATGCGTTCATCGATATTCTTGTATTATCCAGTACTTTAACGCATAATCTTAAACCCACGAGCATGCACTTGTGTTCCTACGATGGTGTGGATGTTTATTGCTTATAAATACCATGTTGATGAACACCGCGGTGATCATGCTCCTACTGCAGACCTAAGAAAACGAAGAGAAATTTGATGCTTTAACTGGAATGGAAAGGACATTGTCGATCTAAAAAGATGAGCCGAACTAAATGGAGCTGCTGCGGAGGGCAACGAGCAGGAAAAAAGTGATAGAGCCGTTACGACTATGACGGCACAACAAATACGGCATTCTATGAAATTTCTGAACGGTAGGAACTGTTGAAAGCACAGCAAGGATCGACTTTAGCGAGAGTTATTAATACTCTTGAATAGTCGATGTTGTGGGCGTGGTGTGTGTGAATAGTGCTGGCAGTTGGCATCACATTTACTAACTAGAGCAGGATCAATACGTCACTAAGATGAAACATGACGCCGGTTTAAATACATCCATTGGCTGCTTACTGTTTGGTCAGCAAACCTTTTTTCCTTGGTAAACGAACGTAGGACTAAATTCAAATTCAGTTCCCATAAAAAAAGATCTCAACGCGTGACTTTTAAGGACATTCATTGTTTTTCATCTGAAGATGGAAACCCCTACAATCAAGAGTCTTTCAGCCGTAAGGGTACTTTCATTGCGGTCCATGCTTCCAACGTACCGAGATCAAGGTGATCTTTGGGCACGATTAACGGATTTTGCCAAGGATCATAACGTCACGGTCATTGGTCCAGCTTTTGCCGTCAACTATACTAAAGATTGCAAACAAGTTGACGTAGAGATCGAAGTTTGTCTACCGATAGCTGAAGACACCCATGTTCCAAACATAACGCCTTTCAGCGTACATGAGATTCCTGGTGTGGATCGAGCTGCCGTCATGGTTTATGTCGGCCCGTGTAAGGGCTACATCTCAGCTTACAAGCACTTTTTTGACTGGATCGGTTCGGAGAAACTTATTCCTGCCGGGCCATCGCGTGAAGTTTATGTAAAAAGATCTTGTGATGATGGCGAGGACGACAAAGACAATGTGACTGAAATTCAGCTTCCCATAGTTTAACAGAAAAAATGCTAACGGCGAAATTTAAATTCGCTGAAGTGTCTTGAATGAAATGTTGCTACTGAATCCTATTTAAAACAATTGTCAGCTGATCGATTGAAAGCTTTCACCGGCTATATGGTGATCGCCTTTAGATGTTATATCACAGTTTACGGCATTTAAGCCGCTAAGCGTGCTATCGCCTCACGATCAACCGAAGAGATAGGCTTATCAAGCAAAAAATTCGTGTTCCTCTTTCACAGATGATCTAACCTAGATGACTCAGTCATCGGTTTTACTAAAAGAGCTACCAAGTGCAACGGGGTTGCCGTATACCTTGTTCACAGAAATCTCTGACTCAAAGAGTCCGTGTGTAAAACGTGAAGAGACTGAGTTCGTATGTTCCACCCAGAAGCATTTCGACTAAACTTGTCTTTAATCAATTCGAATGACAAACAAAAATCTAGTTACTAAAAGAACCCTCGATTTTGCTCGCACGCGGATCTTTTAAGACGATGTCAATATGCTACCCACTCGCAAACATGTACGCAATACACCGCTTCGCTAGCGCGCAAATTCCTAGCATCGACAATCGATAACCAATTAATTTCCCATTTTCCTCAATCCCAGAAGCAGCCCACCAAGACTGCTACGTGCGAGTTTTTGCACGTTACTGTTCTCATTTTCAAGAAGAATTAGCGCTTCAATAACTTCTTTTCTACTATAATATTCTGGCAACGCCAATATTAATGCATGAAAGGCTGTCTTTGACCCCGTCAAGAGCCTCTCAATGCTTGGTACCCGACACCATTCCGCATCCTTCTCAAGGAAATTCTACAATGGCCGTGACATTTCCGCATAATTCTCGCTGTACTTGTGCAATTAGTTGGCGATGCCCAGACACTTGCGCAATTCCTCTTTGATCTTTGGAAACTGCTAGTCCACAATTACCTTAATCTTAGCGGGATCTGCTCGAAAGCAATGATTCCCGATAAAAAACCCTAACAAGGGGATTTCTTCCGCGCCGAAGATGCATTTAGCGGCATTAGCATACAGCTTATTCGAGCGCATGCACTCAAGCACCGCCTCAAATGGACGATGTGGTCTTCCTCATCTGTTCTCCCGGGCCCCGCACGACTGTGGGCAAAAATGTCGTCGAAGTATATTTGTGCATACGCCCGATGGGGCCTGAACAAATGCGTCACAAGACGATCAAATGTTGCTGGTGCATCTGACAGCCCTCAGGGCCTTACAAGCTATTCCCGGAGCACCCGCTTGGATTTCTTACCGCTGACTGCGGAATATCACTCGCTCTCATGAGCATTTGGTAATAACCATCGACCAAGTCGAGTGCGATGTACTTTGTACATCCAACCATATTGTTCCGGAGAACACCCTTCCTAGGAATCGGCGTCTGTGCCGAAATGGTGACAGGGTTGAGCTTATTGTAAGCGTGAGCTATATGCCGCTTGCCGTTCGGCTACTGTCGGTGTCGAAAGGGGACACAAGCTCTCACGCACCATCCCTGCATCGTAAGCGTTAATGACGCCACTCTGCTCCTCGGGCAAGAGCCATCGGCGTGATCTGCAGTATTTGCTTCCCGGAACCAAGTCAATCTCATGCCGCACACCTGGATCCGGAGGTAGGACCGACGGCGGGTCTTTGGGGATGACGTTCTGAAAAATCTTTTAGAAAGGATAGTACGAATACAAGGAATTCTTCAGGATCGACGATCCACTTCGTACGTTTAGCACCCTCTTAGTGTCCCCCAGGACAGCTTAATCCGAAGCGACGACGATACCAACTACGATAGACACACCCTGGGTCAGAGTCAACGCCCTGCGTCTTGCAGATATCATTCGACTTTGTCGTCTCATCTGTATAGAGGTTTTACGTCTTATCGAGTGGGAACACACACTCGGCGTCGCCCAGTGCCCCCACTCCCTGCTAAGTCGGATTTTTAGTGTTATTAACAACATCCGTCGAAGAGCTGCTATTTCCGCAGTCTTTGGCCGGTGGATATCGTGCCACCCCGCGCGCATCATAAGGGCTTGCCCAAGATGCCTCGGACCTCGTCCGACTATGCCGCTCTTGGCATGCAGCTACTGCTTCGAAACGTGATCAGTGTTCAGGGGATTACGTGCCACTCCACGCTCATCACTGAAGCCACGCACTCGAAGTCTCGGCCCTTGGCCGGCCATACTACTTTTGGTATGTAGCAACTGCTTTGTTACTTGAGCAGTGCTCAGTGGGTTCCGTGCCTCCACATGCATCACTGAGGCCTCGCCCTCAATGCCTCGGTCTCTGGCCGACCATGCCGCGCATGGCATGCAGCGACTGCTCCAATACTTTGGCAGCGCTCAATGAGTGCCACTCTACGATCAGCCCGTGAGCCACGCTCAGGAGTCCTGTCCCAAACACCTTCGGTGTTCGACAACTCAGATACTCCGATATCCAGCACATTGACCGTCCCGGCCCGGTGCCCGCGCCAATAGCGCTTTGTTTCCTAGTTAATGACTCAACAAAGCTCTACCACAAGATGTGCGCGTAGCGCTCAAGGTCTTCAACCTCCAATCAATCCATTACTAATGGGGTCTTCAACCATGCCATACCAAAGATACGTTCTTACCTGACATCCAAGTCTAAAACTAAGCAGCTTTCCACGCTATCAAAGTGAAGAAACTTGACACCGACGTCCACAGGGACCCTCGGCACCGTGACACACGTCCCTGTCGCTGAGCGAACAGGGACGGTGAAATCCAACCGCGCTGCCCGCGCCTCAGCATACAGTTGACTTCTTTCGATCGTGAGCCGTCGAGCATCATTGTTCGACGCACCAAAATCGATCAGGATATCTCATGGCTTCTCAAAGCCCTTCACGGTCGCTTTTACGACCAGCAAGCCCGGCTTACACACACGTTCCGTGTTCAAGAGCACTGAACTCTTCGGGACTGGGCCCTGCTGCCCTCTACCTCTTTAAAGCACAGCAGAGCTCAGTTCTGAGATGACTAAACCTTAGTTTCGTTAGAGTTTCTCAGTTTCGCTTGATCAGGAGCGCACGGCAAGATATGCGCGTTAGTAAACATGGGTTTTATGAGTCAAAGCTTTTTCTGAGCAAAATGCATGTAACTTTGTTGAAATAAATACACCAGTACTAATGGTCACCAAAAGTGCAATAGTTTTGCTTGAATGCACTTGTACCTCATTGCGAGTCAATTATCTGTGACTCAATCTCAGCATTTAAGAAACTCTCAGGGACATCTTTACGTTTGTCTCTAAAGTTTAAACAGTAGTACAGTACCATGGTGACAAAAATGATCGCCAAATAGTACCAGGATTTGACGAAGTTAAATAGAGTATTCAATCTCCTGATGATGTCCGTTCGGAATGATGATGTCCGTATATATCCACTTAGTATAAAGCTCAAGAGGACAATGATAGAGACAGAGATGTACAAGTTGAAGAGACAAAGATGTTGAAAGTCAGCAAAGTATCGAATATCCAGAAAGAGCAGATGACAATAACCCATCAGCTTTTTATGCTGCCGTGTAGTGCTCAAGTACCCTTCAAGTCACATACGATAAGTACCAGTTGTTGAGGATCTCTCTGCGCTTTATATTCAGTGGATTGGGAGGAGAAGGGACAGAGTGAGTCTTCTTTTTCATTGCTATAGACAAGTTTAACGTCTGAAACGAAATTTGCTCACCACATGGCCTTGTGTCAAAATTCTTTTGAATCTTGGCAACTACTTTGCAAACACCATGCTCACTATGCTAAAATTATCTCCGTTTCTGCGGGCTGTCGCTCTTCTCTCGACTGTCACTCTGTTGGCATGCACTGATTCTGTAAGTGCGTCGAATGAAGTTTGGCCAGATCACAACACGAGCGCTGCGAGTAATCAAACGCATGCGCATGTGAAGATAGGGTCACGACGAGAGGTGGATGAAAACCATGATCAATACGAGGAGAGGGTTTACGATATAGATGAAGCGTTGAAGATAAAGGAATTTATCGAGGAGTACTCCAAGAAGGTGATGGAATATGCTGATATTGCTCTTAAACATTGGGCTTCAACAGTCTACAACGACTTTCTAGGACGATACGACGATGTCATGCGGGCCAAGCTGTTTATTGAAGGACTCTCATCTGAAGACGAATCTGCGCAGCGCCTAACTAAAATGCTTCGTAACGCCCAGTTTGAGAACTGGTATGAATCGGATATATCACATGAAGACCTCAGAGAACGTCTCAAGCTGAACCTTCAAGACATCAAAACCTTCGACAACCCCGTCTGGATGATATGGCACGAATATGTCATATGGAGATATAAACGCCATATGGCAAAATGGAAAATGCAAGGAAATATTAGGCCGTTTGAAATGCTAGTCAGCGATCACCATGATGACTTTAATCTGTTAGTCGCACAAACAGAGGCGGCAAGTAATCGAGCCGCCGCAGCCTTGGTGAAGTATGAGCTGATCGAATTTGCGTCGCGCTTCGACAACAATGAAGAAATATTGTCCAAGAAACTCATGACCAAGACTTTAGGCACAAACTTTCAATTAAAGGCCCCCACAGCCGTCATGTTCTTGATCGAGTGCTGTCCCAATATAACGTCGGAAAATCTGCTGCGATATTTGCGGAAATATCTTTTTAGTGTCATCTGTGGCGCTTCGGATTTTGCCATCCGCTGTGCCCTGCAAGCAGATGCTTAGGAGCGAAATCGCGCTGAATCTGGTCAGCTCAAGCCTGCAGAGAAGCACGACAAGGAGTTACTTGCCATGAAATATGCACTTGCCAAGTTTAGGGTTTACCTGCTCGGCTCCAAGCCGATCGTGATCTACACAGGTCATTCGTCATTACGCACTGCGACTCAATGGCCTCACCTCTCGCAGAGGATTGCCAGGTGGCTTTCTTTCTTCGCCGAATATGACTTCGGGGTGAATTATAAGCCAGGATTTCAGAATGCTTTGGCTGATGCGTTGTCATGCATACCGGATTATGAGATTGTTCATGTCACGACGGTGACGTCGTCAGTGACGGATTTGGTCCGCGCCAATTACGCGGGTGGTGATATGTGCGTAGCGCTGCTACTGGTTCACGATAGCACGAAGTTTGATAATGGAAACACGAACAAGAAGTTGTAGTCGCGACTGCGTGCACGGTTGCCCCGATATTCATTGAATAATGGATTGCACAACTGTAGCACCGACTCGATGGAAACGCCACGCATTGTGGCTCCTCACGAAAAGGACTAAAGTTACGTATCTATTAGGCCCACGACACCCCACGCAGAGGTCATCCCTGTCGTGAAAAGACCTACAGCTCTAAGGGTTACCTCTACTGATGACCCAGGCTGTACAAATGGACGAGCACCTAAGTGCGCGCGAGTGGAACGTGTCAAAGGGTGAAACTTTCTCCGAATACGGCGGCGCCGCTGGCAAGTTTGCCGGGACCCTCCGAGTGTTGGCACTTCATGAGTTTGAACTTTATGTTTGGCCTGCCGAAGGACTCGGCGGGCAACATGGGTCTCGTGGTCTTCGTTGATCGTTTGGGCACGATGGCTCATCTTGTGGCGGCGTTGAGCACCATTAACGGTGTCAGTGCAGCGACGCTTTCTGTGGATCGTTTCTGTCGACAACATCGACTTCCGGAGTCAATTCTCTCTGACAGAGATCCACACATCACTAAGAAGGTTTGGTCGACGATCTCTAAGGTGCTATACACCAAGTTGACTAAATCAACAGCGGACCATCCGCAAACCGATGGTCAAAATGAGCGCTTGAATTGCGTCGACGAGGACGTCCTTCGTAGCGCTGGAGCACCATGCTGCCACTCGTAGAGTTCACCCTGAACAATTCAGTGTATTCGGTTACCTGATACACACCATTCTATGTGAACAGGGTTGTTCATCCTCGCGTCCCGTTGACGACGCCATACCATGGTTCCGGGCTTGGTGGAGGAGGAAAAGCTGAGCGGCTAGCTGACGTCAGCCACCTCACTTATCGTAAGGAAATCGATGACTTCATGTCTATTTCTTACGACACGTTCGCAATTTGATGGCTGAAAGCTAAGACATGCAAAAGAAATATGCAGACGGACGAGGACGAAGAAATGTGGAAAAACTTTGAGGTCGGAGACCTGCTTTTTTAATGCTAAAAGTCTTCCTACCTATGTAGTTTTTGCTGTCTTCAAGACAAAGCTCCGCCCACATTTTATCGGACCTTTCAAGATTGTGGCCGAGCGGTGCCTTGCGTGTACGCTACTCTCTTCCGAGACGGATGCGCACCCACCCGTCGTTTTATGGGGCTTGCTCAAGCCGTACCGGGAACTGGCGCAAGCGAACGCGGAAGCTTTGTTGTCATGCGCCCGCAAGCGCTCAACCACCCAGAAGCTGAACCAGCAACTGGTTTTGAGCACAGAGGGCAACGATCTCTATCTCCAACGGCGCCAGGCGGTCCACCGTCACACGAAGCGACTCATTCATCAACTCAACGGCTAAATGTCGCTTCGACAGAGCGCGATAGTCCTTCACGTGAGGCAGTCGGTGCACTAACTGTACCAAGCTCTCAGGTCTTCCACGCAACGGTATGCGACCCCATCATGATACTCAGCGGAGTCCCGATGGCGACAATTTCGTCCGTAAGAGTTCTTAGAGCATCGCGAGTCACCGAACTGCGATCAACCCAGCCGTCATCGCCCCCGATTACTCTTCTCGATGAGAATGGTGGTTTCAACTATCACGTGGAACGTCTTGTGGGTCGACGTCGTCGACAGGGTCAAACCTAGCTTCTTGTGAAGTGACGAGGATTCTCCCGACTTCGAAAACTCGTGGGAGTTTGACGTGCCACTTCGAAAAGACTGCTCAGACGTCGTTGACGGTTATGATCAGACGGATCATAACGCTCCGAGGGTGCAGCGGAGTTGCCGTAGCTCTTTGCTAAGGGAAAGATTACCAGGGTCACCGACCTTAAGTTCTATACCAAAACCAGTACGAGTGTAGCGGATCACAATCCGCTACCTCCAAAAGTACCTAATGACCTTAACCAAGGCACATACACTCTTCCGTTCAAAATTGAAACTATACTCATCTGTTTATCCGTGACAGAGCCGCCTATATCTGAATCCTAAGGTTTTTCTAAGCAGATAGTAAAGCCTAATTGATATGCATAAGTACTGGCAGTCCCGCCCCATAGTAGCTTATTGTTACGGTGTAGCCACACCATTGTGTGATTACACCGACTTGTGAAATCCAGACCTTGGTACAATCACACCATCTTGTGTGGCCCTCCTTTCATACCAAAATACGTATACAAGGGTACAGTCCAAAGAAAATTGGCGACGCGTCTTGAGTTTGGCAAACTCAAACCGAAGATGGCGTTCCACGCGCGCGTCCACCTCTTTGTGGCTCAAGTGTTAGTTGTACAGCGAGGAAAGTTTCTGGTGCCGCTGCACCTATCGCTCCAAAAGCTTTTTGTCACCTGCAGCGGTTTCGCCAGGGGTGAGCACCATAGGATTAGTCCGTATCGCGGGTACAGGAGCGCCTTCTCTTTTCAAAGTCGAGTGCGGTACGTAACCACCGGGATTTCATGAGGAACCATGAAGCGAGCTCGGGAAGATTTCCGTTCGATAATCTATGCTTTTTTAGCAGCCGAGGATCTGATCACGTTGACACCCAACATTCGAGTGATCACATACTTCGCTTCTGTAGCGGAATCCGCCGAGCAGAAGCTGTATTCCACACGAGGGTCAAGGATCGACCGTGGATGCGCGCGCATGGGTGCTGCACTGCGAGCAGCTGCCGCTGTGTGCCTCGTCGAGGCCATTGGCAATCACACCACTTCCTCCGGAAGTCAAGAGGTCGGGATCAGACACGGCACCCGCAAGGTTCGAGCAGGGCTCACGTCGCGTCGCTGGGGCACCTCGCCTTCTTCTTCTTCCAATCCTGGAAAAAAAATATACGACTCGTAGTCGACTTCCTCCAATCCTCGACGAGATAATCTACCGCTCGTGGCGGTCGCGGTGTGCGGTCGGGAGTAGACATCGCGTCTGCGTTTTTGGTCGTGCGACCCTGTCGCTGACAATGCGCTGCGCGGTACAAGATTAGCGAGACCTTGGACTGCGCTTCCCTTGAAGCCGCGGAAGTGCAGTCCGAAGTTGCACCGCGTGCAGGAGACGAGGAAGGGCTCTGCCCGCGGGTGTTCTCGAATTCAGCGAGGCCGGATGTCTTCCGCGTCCTCGACACAGGAATCATTAAGCAGAAAATTTGTGAAGAAGATGCTGGTGATGTTGTGGTTTCTTAGACACGCGATCCTCGTTCGAGGTGACGGCTGAATGTGAAGTGTAGGTGTTCACAATCTTGATGGGGGAGAGTGTAACGGGGCTACACTTACCCTGGTATGAAGGGAGTGGATCACACAAGAGGGTGTGACCACACGATGATGTGGCTACACCTTCACAAGAAGCCACTACGTTACGGGACTGCCAGTACTTATGCATTTAATATAGGTTTTCTTGTATACCTATAGATTTAGATAGAGGCTGCTTTGCTGCAAATAAAACTGAGAAATACATTCTTCGTTTTAAAAGGAAGAGTTAATTAGCCTGAGGTTAAGGTTGTGGTTACTCTTGGGGTACGTAGATTACGATCCGATACACTCGTACTGGTTCCAAGCATAGAACGAAGGTCACCGATCCTAAACAAGGTTTCTCTAAGCAAGAGAGCTACGGCAGCCCTGCTACAAGGAGCCTCTCAGATGACTGACACTGTGAGTTTCTCGAAAGTACTATTTCTTAGAATTAGTTTAATTCACACAAGAACTAAACACGTAGGTTTTAATAATTATTTTTTCTTTTTTTCTGACGTCCTCTCTTCTGTGATCCGTAATCTTCAATAAAATCCCAATAGTTCGGTTCCTATAAACAGCAAGTATTATGTCAATTTTGTACAATTGTACACGTATCGCATACATTACGATTGTACCAAATGTGCAAGGGATAAGCACACAAGTAGCTCCGTTGCAGGACCCCGTTGAAAATAGTATTCCAATCGACTGTTTTTCTCGGATCTCCAGCGAAATTTCGATGTAGTATCATGATTATTACTTGACGGATGACACCTGTGGGCTGACAAAGTATTATTTTAAGTTTCATATATATAATGTTGTCGCTTTGATTTCTAACTTTAAGTTGAGAAAGAAAGCACCAGGTAATACGCTCTTCGTTTTGCACTATCAGGGCGTCCTCCAAATCCGTCCTTTGTGCATTGACTAATACGGACTTTACAAGGGTACGCGGCAGTACTGTGTCTGTATTCTTTTTATTTTTTAAACCATACTGAGTTTGTAAGAATTTCGGAATCGTATTACCTCGAATTAAGGGGATTCATGTAATACACGTACCTGTATATTAATCCCTCATCAAGAGTCGCTCCTTGCCAAATCCTGCTCTCTTCCAGATGGGAATTGTAGTGAAATGTCAATATGTATGTCTGTGTCCAATTTGCTCTTAGCTTCGTCATTCCCATCGATCAAGTCATTCGTGTCGCTTCCTAATTCTCACGTCATGTAGCATTTCACTCAACAATATCAAAAATGCCCCTAACGACATGAAGCTTGAATTGAATGACGGACTTTTTGCACCCTCTTCTGACCGGCGCTTGAAACCTGGACCAGACTAATCAATGCAGAGACGCTGGTCTAGTTAGTCTTTCAAAGAGACTCGCACAAAGGTACAACACGCTTGACCCAGCTGGTTTCACGACATATGCACCGCCCAGACAATTAGACTTTTGTATTGAATTGCATAAGACAGAGATGGACGTCGTGTTACCAACCCCCTGCCGGCTTTTTAATGGCGCACGAAAAGAGACGTTTGCTTCTGTAGCTCGGTCTAAACACCGGTCAAGAGCTCAAAAAGCGGAGCTGCAAGCTGTTTGCCTCAGGGCTTTGGTGGAACTGGACATTATACGCAGGTTAGCAGCCGTTGTTTATATACGGGAGCAAGCTGCCAGTGCTTGCATTCTCCCCGTAAATTGTCCGTCTACCTGCTAGTAAACTGTACCGGGACGTATCTAGTCTATCGCTACTTCTTCGGCGTTGATGAAGCGGCCTCATGCGCCGTCACACATCTGGTCGTCGTTGTTCGTAGTGACTCTAGTAGTGGTGACGATTATGGCGCTAGTGAACGCACAGAGCACGATGGTTATGATGGCAGATAGAGCAAATACAGAGGCGGAATTTAGCATTGACGAGCTGCCTGTGACAGTAATTCCTGCAGATAGCACTGACGACACAGGAGTGACAGTCGCACAAAGGAAGCAGGAATTCACGGAAGCGACAACATTCGATACAGAAACTACAATGCGCAGAGCGGCGATCCCATTCGCGGTAGAAGAAGCTCCATCAACGACAACAGCGCTAGTTAACACTACGGTAACGTCAGATAAAGCCCCGATAGGACCTGTGGTGGTAACAGGTGACCATACATTTGCATTTGAGGCACCAAAACCTCAAACAGACTCAGAGAATCGTACTGCCGAAATCGACGAGTCTAGTACGGACCCTAGAGCGGTGGAGGCTCTTACCAAAGCTTCAGTGGCATCAGAGCCCCCTATTATTGTGGCCGGACTTCCACCAGAAGATATAGAGATACCAGATCCTCCGAATGCACCTTTAGTGGAAGAAGTACCCATAACAGCTCCTCCAGCGGCAGATGCGCCACCTTCAACACCACTTCCAGCTCCTCCAGCAGCAGATGCGCCACCTCCAACACCACTTCCAGCTCCTCCAGCTCCTCCAGCTCCTCCAGCTCCTCCAGCTCCTCCAGCTCCTCCAGCTCCAGCTCCTCCAGCTCTTCCAGCACAAATTTCAGCTCCTCCAACACCACTGCCAGCTCCTCCGACACCACTTCCAGTCCCTCAAGCATCAGAGGCGCCCTCTTCAGCACCTTCAGCCGCAAGTAACGCTCCTGGAACAGAACCACTTGAGATTGGCTCCACCTTACCTCCACCGGCAACTCAGGCTACAACATTGGTTCCCGTGGAGACCCCAACTCCAGTGATGACCCCTGCTCCTACACCAGCACCGATGCCGACCCCTGTATCCCTCCCACCTCCGACGACAGATACCCCTGACCGACTGCCTCATGCGTCTCCATCTACACCAACCGGATCTTCAGACATTGACACCGATGACGAAAATGATGTTGTTTTAGATCAGACTGCGTCCGTTGATGACGCTGAAATTGATCCAAATGTGACTACAAATGTTGATGAATCTATTTCAACTGCTTTAGATGTTAATGCCGCCGATCCGGATCCGGCTCAACCTTTAGATGACAACAAGACTGATCCAAATGAAACGGATGCCGACATGCCTCCTGCATTAGATGACAAAAAGAACGAGTCGGATGAAACTGATTCTAATGTGCCTCCAACTTTAGATGACAATGATACTGATACAGATGCCAATCAAGATATCGAACTTGGCGACAACGTGTCTGACGACAATGAAGTCAATTTTGCTGACGGTAGCATTGACGACACCAGTGGATTGACATTGTCACCAATCACGTCAGACATGATTGGTCCTGAAACTGGTCTTGAAACTCCAGATAGCGATAATAGTGAGGGAGAGCCAAGCCATACTTTGACAAAGTCAGGAAATTCTGCTTCTCTTGGCGGCTGGAAGCTCGTTCTCATCATAATTGGTGCTGTTTGCGCGGTGCTAGTCTCCATTGTCTTTGTGCACCGACGTCACGTTCGCAATGTAGCTGCAAACAAGCGTGATCGAGGTAGTTCCCAGCAGCGTGCATTGGATTCATTCTTCAGGCAGAACCGTGTGACTGTGCCGCGCGACACTGGCGTATCGTCAAACATCTCCGGTGCGGATTCATTCACTCCGCGCGATCGAATTCCAATGACGATGCCGTCTAACATTCATGAACGATCCCGTAACATTACAAATCCGGCAACTCGAGTACATGATAGAACAGCTCGACCAGGATTTACTGAAAATATCAATGCACCAACAAATAGTTATCATAGCGAGATGAGCGGGAGGCATCCAGGCTCTTCAGGACGTGCACGTCTTGACTCATCCAACAACTTTGGATCTCGCTCTGTATTTTTAACTGCGGGTTCAGTAGCTGTCACCAGTATCGCACCGCCACCCACACCGTCAGTACCATTCCGTTCTCGAGCCGAAACAGTGGCTCGATTGAATAATGAAGCATCGTTTGCAGCTTCAATGGATGATAATCGGGCTACGGTTCGGTCGTCCCGATCGAGTGGTGATTTTTCAATCTTTAGCTCATCGGGTCTCTCTGTCAACAGCAATCCTCACCGAAGAAGCACACAGCTTTTTGATGTGCCAGCAGAGACGTCCGATCCAACAAATAGCTACCCTAGTCGTCGAATAAGCGACGATGACCTAAGTCGATTAAGCGATGACGAGAGCTATACGTCAGAATTTGCAGGCAGCAACAGCTTTAGTACGGATTTTAGCGCCGAAGATAGTTATGCCATTACCGACAGCTTTGTGTCTTTGGACAGTACAGGAACACGATCAATACGAAAGACTGAAGACAATCGTGATTCAGATCCACTCGTGCTGTCTAATTTAAACGAGTCGGAACGACGTTAGGACAAAATCGAGCAACTCTCAGCTAAATGTCATTAGTGTGCCGTTAATAATCTATTGAAAACAAGAACTACCAGACACAAAAATCTGTCGCATGTTTTGATGTTTTATTTTTAGTCTTTGGCCAATGCTGCTAGGATGCGATTGCGAGTTGTGAGTCCTCTCACGCCAAGATCGCGCTCGTCTTTGACACTTAAAAGGTAATTGTCCAAGCCGCCGCTCTTGTCCACGCAACGCAAAGTGTGAGTCGTAACATTAAGACCTACTTTTTCATCCAGCGCCTCCGAATACAAAGACTTCCACTGGTGGTTGACCTTCCACGCTCGACGAGTGCGGCGCTTGGAAAATGATACGTTGTTACCAAATGCTTTATCACGACCTGCGAAGAGACCGCGCTGGGCACGACCAGACACGTGCTGACGTTTGGCTGCACGTGTAAACGCCTCGAGAAACTTCATGGATGTGGTTGCCATGTGGGGATGATTTTCGATTAAGTCAAATTTTGAAAGATAAAAGATTTTTATTGTTTATTTTCATGTTTACTATGTTTTGTGCATTTATTACTCGAAAAATAACAAATACTAGTGAATAGCTAGCTAGCTCACTATAGCTTCTTAGAACTTGCAATGCAGCCATACACACCTGTATCCAGTAGCGAACAGTACGAGCCGCTTGGACAGTCACCGTTGCTTACTTGAGCCACACAGACGTTGGACGACTTGATGCAACCGTCGTGGTCCCACCCTACGACGCCAATGGTCTGTTCAGTGCTAGAGCAACCTTCCCAAGGAGTCGACTCTTCTGCGCCATCCTTGCACCCATATACACCCGTTTCAAGCCATTCGCAGTGAGCTCCGGATGGGCAAGCGCCGTCCGTGTTTTTAACACAAACGGCACCAGACGCGACGCATCCGTCTGTTTGCCAGCCGACTACACCAATACTCTCCTGTCCATTCGGACAAGTAATCTTCTGGCTCTCTTTTTTTTGTTTACGGTAATGAGTATTGGCATTCGCAACACAGCCATACACACCCGTATCGAGCAATGAGCAATGCGAGCCACTTGGACATTGCCCGTCGCTCACTTGAGCTACACAGACATGGTTGGATGCAATGCAACCGTCGTGGTTCCACCCAACAACGCCAATTGTTTGTTCATTGTCTGCACATGCTTTTCCATCAGTATACGAAACTTCTTCGGGAGATCCGGCCTGGCAACCGTACACCCCGGTGTCGAGTAAGGTGCAGTATGCTCCTTCGGGGCAGTCACCGGCACTGACGTTAGCGACACAAACGTTGCCAGACTTGACGCACCCGTCTTGATCCCATCCGACGACGCCGATAGTTTGTTCATGGCTGGCGCATACGGTTGTGGATCTCGTATGCACACGGATCCGAACCTTTGACGTGGATCCCGTCGTCAGTATTAATCCCAACGAGGTGGTAGCTAATACGAACTTGATTGGCATCATTTTAAAGTCTCGCGTTTTTGCAATTTCGGAAATGAAGTGCTGAGAATGGCATGACGAGCAGAGTACAATGATACTGGATACCTGATTTATGTTAGATCCAATTGAATTGGTGATCAAAGAGATGGGTTAGTTGAAGAGCTGGATCTTTGGTCTTTCACCTGATTTGAACCCTCGCGTATGTTGGTGTTTTTTTCTGCTTAATACTCTCTACTCCAAAGATATTATTTTAGAATGATTAACAGTTGACTTGATCGGCAGAACACACAACGTAACTGCTTGTACGATGATTAAATTGATAGCATGTGACGTATAGAAAGAGGATGTGGACATGTACGTTCCGTGGGAAGAGCAGATCACATTGGTTTCCTCAATATGAGGTAATAAATAAATTACTTCAATTCGAAATTTACGGTATCTGGGTTGTGGTTGTGGCAAAGTACAGTGTGTGCAAGGTACGGTATCAGAAATATGCATTAAGAAGAGCTTTTAATGTTATTAGCGTGCCGTAACATTGTGTACTTAAACATTCTACGATGTCACTAATGTCACCAGATTTAATGCCAAGTTCAATAGGCCAAATACAAAATTACAAAAGCATCACCACCGATCGCTGATGGAGATAAGGCAACCAGAGAGTTGCCACAACTACGCCAATCTTCCTAGAAATCCGAAGTGTTGGGTCACGTCGACCTCGGTATCTCGCCATCGAGACACCAGGATAGGCCACGAGGCCTGCTATCGATACCGAACTCTAGCCGCTGCATTTGGCGCTTGTACGTCGCTGGAAGCAACATTCCTCAACGATCTCTGTAGTGACAAGGCCGCACTCTATAGCATTATGGTCTTATTGTCGCCATGTCTATTTAAGGTCTCGCGTCTGGCATTGGTTCTCGGCCTCGCGGTTGTGAAGAAAAATGACGTGGTTTGAGCAGGTATTGACTCTTGAGGATCAGTGGTCTTGTCCTTGAGGATCAGTGGTCTTGTCCTTGAGGATCGAGTCTGTCATGAAATGATTGGCAGATTAGCGGTGCCAATACGTAGGTTACACACTCATATTCAACCCACTCAACCCATTCTCAGGTGCATTTTGAACCGACGCGGTGGGTATCCACAGCTACAAGCCGTTTGCAATCCTTTTACCGCATTTATTGTACTACAGTAAAACCTGTCTAAATTAAACAGTTCTACCGTATGCTGCCTAACATGGGTCCATATCTTTTGTTCAATTTAGAGAGGGTTTTAATTAAACAGGTTTCTTTTAGACAGGTTCTACTGTATCTTTATATTTTATATGAAATATACATTTTTAATTAAAACATTATTTTAGAACATAATTTTGGCCAATGCATTTGGTTTGGGAACAGATGATCGAAGGTTTCCTGCAATTGTCGGCCACTGTACAACAATTCCATGTACGAAGCCCCGACAGCTTTTATCACATCTGGAAATATGAGCTAGCCGAATACTCGACTTGCCCCGAGGCTTTAATTGTAGATGGTAATGTCTGCGATCAGACTATGCTAGTTGGTGTGCTTCATTCGTTTGAGGTTGAAGCGCTTATCACTTCGATCCTATCGAAATTCTTCCAAGCCATCGCCAAGTACGTTTAAGTAAGTGATGCGCAGTTTTATCTTGAACCTTCCACTGAAACCGATGACCGGTGCCCGGTCAGTAGAAACAAGCGCGGGATACAAAAATCGATAAAATCGCCACCGGCCCCCCAAAAAAGAGGAGGTTTCGCCTGATGAGACGTCAGACAGCTCATCAACGGAGACATCAACGGAAAATGATGGTATTACTCCCGGGCATACTTCTTCTGGTTTCTCATTACGCTTAATCACGCAGCATCTGAACAAGCAGGTTCCTGCCTAAGTAGCCCAAAATCAGTCGCATCACTCCAATATACCGGTCGGTGGCTTACAGCATCTCTGTTGCTTTGAGTAAACCTTTGTTTAAAAAGGGGGATATTAGACCTCGCCTTATTATTGACAAGATCGTGGTGCCTGGTGGTGAACAACGTAGTTGAAACGAGCACGCCTGCTTCAAGGAGGTACGTAAATGACAAGCATGCTTTTAATGGGCTACACTGAGCCATTAAGCGAAGGTACAGTTGTGTGCCTTCTGTGTACATTGTAGGAATTGATAGAAGAAGATTACAGTGTGGTGTTTCCAAAATGCATACGTGATTTCTTATATGAAGTCACAAATATTCTGTGGTACAGAATGCTGGTTGCTACTTGGGGATCGGTACTGGTGACGAGTCGACGTGTCTGTCTTTTGAAGTGGATGACGTAAGCCAGTCTTCTACTGGATACTTTCCACGAACGTAGAAGTTCAAGCGAAGTTCAACCTCCGTGCACCCAAGATTTTGTATCAGTTAGAGCTGAGGTCTAACCTTAGTACATCCTTGATTTATATGTCAGGAACTCAAGGTTTATTAGGAAAACTTTTAAGAGCCCTTGAGGTGTATTGCATACAGCTAGGAACTATAACTTATTCTAATTCGGTTGCATATTTTCCTTTAAATAAAAAATGGCTCTTCCTCTCTCCAAGTCGGGACAATCCTTTTCACTTCACGTCGTGAATCGCTTTTTCGTCGCACAAGCGTGTGTGTTGTGGTTGAGAGACAAAGGGCATGTGAACAGCACCCTCTTACAAAGTTGTTGCACTGAATGATCATCAATCGCAAAAATATTTGCCGTTTTGGATTATTAAATTGCCGTATAGAAGAGTCCGCTTAGATGATGAGAGACTTGGTACTTAGTAGAAGTGATGTTGACTACGCCAGATGATGACGCTTACTGTACATATCGAATCAAAGTTTAGTTTTGCGGCAGTCGATCTCGGCTTTGATGTAAAAATCGTCATCAATGGATAAGCTTGCACGCGCTCAGCTGATATATCAGGCTCTTCATGCAATACTCTGGACGTCGTGCGCTCTGATGGCTTGAGAATGGCAGATACTATTGGATGATAGGTGTCAAGACCCGAAAGCTACCCTCTTTAACCAGACAGACAAGTGAATCTTGGATACCAACGAGCATGATCTCAACGAAGTATCAAAGGTCTCACGGGTTGGCATTGATGCTCACAGTGGCGGCGATTGACATCACTGCTCGAGACATTTGACTGCATGGTTTATGTGGATTTGAATCACCATAGAAAGAGGCGCCACCTTTGCGGTAGTTGTACCAAAAGATATTGCTGGACTTTTTGTAACGCGAAAGAGTAAATGAATGCTTGACTTATCGATGCGACAGCCCCGGACTCGCCATGACCTATAATTTATGGCTACGAGGTCAGTTGATTCAAGATTCCAAACTTAGATGGAACGCTATTATCTTTCTCTCGGACAAAGATGGACCGCAGATCGCTAGTTTCTCTTGCTTCCGTGGATTTCGCGTGTACGAATATCAATCTACTTTCTGTTAACATGGCCGGAATAAGCAAAATGTTCGAAAAATTATCGATTGAGTGCTCTTGTGCTGCTATCAAACATATCAAGTGTCTCAACAACAATACAAGCTTTAATTTTCAATTTTAGCTCGCTCAATAACCCTGGTTCGCGCAAATATCTGGGATCTCTACGCATTCCGAAAAAAAAAAATGCAGACAGCGTAAAAATAGAGAGTCTGATTCAGATACATCGGCGTACGTAATAGTGGAAGCTGACGAAGGTGTACAACAGTTCAGGCAAGCCCAACCGAGCAAAGGCAAGATGTCGGCTTTCTTCAGTACGTATTCGCGTTGTTTTTTGACAAAGCTTGAGATCAAGTAGACTGGAATAATGTTATAATAATTCGGATGCTAGATCGCGTTGGTTGTGGACCTGTGGCTGAAATCGTTTTCTTAATTTTAATGTTGAAACAGATCTGGCATTGGTTTGGTTCGGAACGTATTGTTCTCCTTGCGTGTCGTAAAGCAAGTGGACCATCTCTCCTCAATGCAATTTCAATTGAACTTCAGGAAAGCCTTCAACGAGAAGCGCGAAAGCACGGTATTACCATCTTGGCTGGTCGTGTTGCTAAAAGTTCAACTTTGCATTTGTTTCCACCTTGCCATTTGATATCCGACTTGTCCTGTTAAATTGATATTGTGCAGGATTACTGTACCGGACCTGAACAATCGCTGATGTTTTAAAATGCCACTTGCTATCCTTTCATGAAGTTATTTTCAGCGTGTCTGACTCGGACGGGGGATTGTTAATTCCTCTGTGGTTGCATGTCTCGGATTCTCGATAGACTATGGCGTGACGGATGCATCAGTGCGTGTGACTTCGAAGGCATGGATCCGGACACAATTTGCTGGGTGGGGACCTCGCGCTCACTCAAATAGAAGTCGATTATTGATCCTGCAAGCTATGGTTTTATCATTTCTCTCTGGCTCTTGACGCCTATAGTTATGTACGATATGGTTATTGGACTCGAGACGATTAAAAGAAATACCCTCTGACTCGAAGAGAAATTTTTTCAGGCCGTCAGATTTTATGATCCATTCAAACGGGACAAACTTCAGAATTTTCTCCTATTAAACTATATGCATGTCCAACGCGTACATTTATTGCTGCCATGCATTAAAGTGAGCTATGGCGTGTACCGACAGCCGAATTACGTTGGGACGGTCGTCCTTGCGGTCCTTTTCCAAACCGCTTGACGTGCTAGGCTGCCCTCGCAATTTGCAACCTGCAGTGGTAAAGGTTTCTCCACACATCCCCTGGTGGATTTTTCTATGGAAAGTTAGATCAGCACTACACTGGCTGCCACGCATTGATCAGGTACATCAAATATTTTTTTAGCCGTCTCTACTCTAAGCGTTTGTGCAAACTTTCACCATCATCTTCGGGTACTCCAACGAGATGATACACATTAATTGGTGCAGCCGGGGCTAAATTATAACTTTGCTCACAATTTGCCACCTTGACAAGATGTCGTTGCTTGCCAGATTTTCTAGATGTTGGACGACATCACATCCTAGATGTTGTGTCATGTTCTACGAGCACAACCGACATGGTCTCTACGATATCGGTCGCAGCATGTGTTGGAGCTCTACAAAGACTTCACTAGCACTTTAAAGAGCTGACAGATTTTGAAGTTTTCATGCAGGCTCTTCATCTTATATTCTAGCGCTACCTTCAATTGTCGCGAGCCGGAAGAAAGACTTCACCAGGTCCAACTTGCGCCAACGTATCGGGTGTGATGTATTACTACCCGCTATCACATCTTGTGGAGAGGGGCTGACATTCACAGATCTCCAAACTATATGAACGGTCCTGAAGATCGTCCGTTAGGCTGTTTTACTGCCACTCGAATCTCCAGTATGTCTCAGCTCGAAGTTATTTCTCACCCTGTCGCGCTTTCAGGTTCGGACACAGGTTGTAAGAGGTCGCTGTTCACAACAGTTCCTCAAACACAACTCACATCGTTGTGCGGCGAGGAAGCGATTCCTGACCTAAAGAGAGACGAACAGTACTGACTTAAAGGGAAGAAGAACGCCTAATGCCTTGAAGGCAAATTGCAACTGAATTTAAAGAGTTAATAGTTTCTAGCTACATTCAAAAATTTCCAATAGCCAACATGGTTTTACTAATAAAATCTCTGCTTCCTGGTTAACACAATAAAGGGTGTACAGAGGCTGAACCTCAGCTTGAACCCATACAAGATCTTGAGCGTACAGAGCTTGAACTTTAAAGAGCTTGAGCATCAACTTTTGTGAAAAGGAATTGACTGTCTTTCGCCTTCCACTTTTGAAGACAGACACAAGTCGGTTCCGTCACCAATACCGATTCCCAAGTAGAAACCAGAATTCTTTACCACACAGACAGTTTGTGACCTCATGTGTTACGTGTGCATATGGGAAGACCACACTGTAACCTTCTCTTTACAGATTCTCACAATGCATAGAGAAGGTGCAAAGATTTTCTTTCATGAAATAGCTACGAGTACACAATAACAGCATATTCTATAATTAGCCAAAACTATCTTGATACTATTGCAGACTTTTTGTAGCAGCTCACTTTCCAAAAACAAAGAAGCAATTTTTTGAACAAGCCAATGTTTTTTATCGTAAATGGAAAAGAGCTGTTCCAGAACGCTTTGACGTTCTAGAACAGAAATTAAGACTATTTTATGGAGTGTTCGTCTCGTTGGCGTCGGATCAACAATCGTTATGATCTGACCCAGACCATCGCAGCTAAGCTCGACTCTTGGCGGACATTTGGTCGCTTTGAGAACAAGAACAAGATGAAAATTCTGCTTAGTCGGTCGGCGGTGGCAGAACTCCCAATCACGAACACGCAAAAAACAAGCTCTGGTCATGGTAGTGTTGCCTCTAGCAAAACTTCTTTTAGCTGCGGACCACGTCGGGTAGATCAGACTCTAAGGCCTGACGAGGCTCCCACGTGTCCGAGTCTGATGGATAGTCACGCCACTATACTCTGTCATAGCGTTGATGGTTCAATTGCTTCTTTCCACGATGACGAGTCGTGATCGACAATCGTCTCAACCACCGAATGACACTCCCCACGAGAGTGTAATAGCGGAGGTGGTATTAAACGTATAAATAATTAAGCAACTCTGGAATAGCGGAAGAGCACTCATCGCAGGCAGCTCAAGGAATTGCAGCAGCGTTGCTCGGCGATTTTAAATAGCTGCGAGAGCCTTTCGAACCTTGTTACAAAGCAGAACTCTATTCTCGACGTTCTGACTGTTGGTTCCGCGTGATGATCGGATTTTGAAGTCCTGATTCGAGTGACGGTTTCAACAGGTCATGATGAGCCTTGAGAAATCTCGTGAGCTGGCTCACGAGCCCCTGTTTGGCTATGTGAAGAGGCATGCTTTGTTCTCGAGGCACTCCGTGGTGAGTTCAACCTCGCCTTCAAGCGTTGTGATCAGTAAAGGAGAAATCCCTCGATCTCCTTCAAAATTTTTACGGCCGAAAAGAATGGCCAGCGTATAGAGTTACATGCTCTTTGCGAGCAAATGGACCTACTTCATTGTCACCTCGATCATCGACCAAAGGTACAGTAGGATTGGTAGATACAATCGGAAAATACGCCTTAAGCCTACACACATGAAATATATGATGTTGGTGCATGTGTGTAGCAATGGCTAATGTGTATGCATCACCATTGTATTTTAACACCTTGAACGGCCCAATGAATCTTGGCAAAATCTTTTCGCTTCCAAGTTGGACGCTGCATGCTCAGGCAGATTTGTCGTGTTAAGTAGTACAAGATCATTGACCTTGTATACTTTTCTCTCCTTACTACACCTCTTATCTGCTCGTTCAATTTACAAACCCTGAGCTTTCTCATATGTGTCTCGAACAAGCCACATAACAGCTCGTGTCTTCTCAGTCAAGTCATCGACGTGCTGTTCTTCACAACAAGTCATGCCGTTTAGATCTGCTTGAGTAGGATACGCATTCAACCCTGTGATAGCACTTAGGTCAGACTGTGACTCCGTAGCCAAAATACTACCTCCACATAAGGTGATGATCTCGCCTATTATCATAGTTCATATTAATTGTCAAATGACCTGTCGAGGCATGCGTAGCGTTTTTGAAGCAATTTCTACAACGACGTAGTGTAAGTACGCACATGGTTCTTCAGGACTCGATTCACACACCCTGTTTGACCGTCTGTTTCAAATTGTGGTTCTGTTGACATGGGCAATTTGGTGTCCAATATGCACACAAAACCTTTGACCTCAAATGAATTTTATTGTCAGACACGATCCCAACAGGAAGGCCACGATATATACGGAAATAACGTCTACAAGTAACTTAACTGTCTCTCTACAGTCCATACTCACAAACTTCCAGCCGTCATATGGAACAATTAACGACCGAAGTGGAGTCCGAGAGAACCCCGATGGTTTCACGCACTGGCATATCTCACAAGTCATCACATACTTGCATACTTGTCCAGCCACTTTTACATGTGTGGCCAAAAGTAATCCCGGAAAGACCAATAAGCGTTTTCTCACGTCCGAGATGGCCACCCGAAGGTCTGTCATTGCACTCATAAGAGAGACGATGATGCAAAATTGCGTCATTAGGAACAACAACCCCTTGCAGTGCTTTTTCGAAAGAGTTATTGTCAACAAGTTCTGACATGATTATCAGACTTGTGCCCTTCGACAATTTCTTCAAGCATTAAAGTCGTTGCTTGCGCTCAAGTCGTTTGGGCATCTTCGCATTTTCGTCATGACTCGTGCATAATTTCGCTCCTGGACTTTGGACCATAGTTTGAACGTCTTATCAGCGCATCATGTTCGTCCTGTCTGGCTGGTAGTGTACAACAAAGTTTTTCCTTTCAACGAAGGTAATTCATCGAGCTTTTCTCTGCGATGACTGAGGAGTCTATACTGCCGTACTCAACGAGACATGATCTGTATAGGTCGTAAGCGACCCTCTTCAAGCAAGCACATACGGAACGTAACCAAAACATACTTCATTGCAAGAAGCTCTTTGAAAGAAATGGTTAGTTTCGTTGTACAGGCTGATATTGTTAGGCTAATACGAAACATCTCGTTCTCGACTGTCGCATCAGCGCACAACCGATGACATAATCACTTGCATCGCAGACCACATAAAAAGCCTTCCGGTGGTTTGCGATCACAAGAGGAGGAGCCGATTTTAAGCTCTTCTTCGCTTCGACAATATCGTCTGGAGATCTTTTGACAATTCTTATTAAACCATGATTCTTTAAATAGCGTCTTTGTTACGAGAATCCTCAAGTTTCATTGCCAATGACGTGTTTAACATCTTGATTGTAAATGCATTCGATAAACGAATGGTAACTTTTTTTCACTTTGGGCAGGCTAACACCATGGCCAACTTACTTTTGATCAAAGCCAATCGACGCACCAGAGTCACTAAAAGCTCGTAGCGGTTTTGCTTAAGCATCTACAAAGACTTCTTGGACAATCGAAGTCGCACTTCGCCTGACACTACTATCACTCATGGTGAAAACTGCATGTGAATCATGCACGTTGGGGTCAGAGTTCTGTGTATCCACATCATTAACAATACTCTTATCGGGCCGAGTAGGAAGCCCCGTCCTTGTCGCCCCCGTTTTTTTCTCCTTGGAAGCGTTCAAACCGACGACCGTTATAACGTCCGTAACTATCCAAACGAGCACCCTGTCTGTTGCCAAAACTCTGCAATTCAAAGCAATATGACCGAGCTTCTTGTAGCTGCAAGAACGCCTATTTTCAGGCGTGGAAATGTACGAGATGTCCATTGATCTTGTACCAGATCTGACGCGTACGGACCCAATGTATTAGCTTACTTAATGCTGAACCCTTCTCACATCGCACGGAGAATAAAATCGTCCAGCTTTCTGAGATTCTCACGGAACAGTTAATTTTAAATTGGCACATCGTTCAGAATCGCCATGAACGTTACAATCTACGTTAGATCGTCAATTGGCTCGTCGACAATGCTCGGTACCAGTAGCGAGCATGCTGTGCATCTGAATGTTGGTCTTAACGACTTTGACGGAGCTTCGAAGCTTGACAAGTGCACGGAACTCACTCAAACGTTCTCTTGCTCGATTTTGAAGTGTTTCTAGCCGAGAAGGCGGGTTAGATTGGCTTGACGCCTAATATATGCCCAACGCTTTGAACGAACCCCAAGGTTGGACATCGCGAGCAACACGTGTTGCAGCAAACTCGACAAAACGTCGGCAGCTCGTTCTATCCACCACGGTACAAAGACACGTTCGAATTCAGAGATATCGTTCAGTACGAAGAAACAGGGGTTGCGATTGCTTCTGAACTCCATAATCTCATGATGCAAAGTGACGGCCACGCTCTTCTGATCATACGGAGAAGACGACTGCAGTGAACGGATTACGGCGGCTTCTCCGATGCATCCGAGCGCTATTCAATTATTTGATGACAAATAAGGAAACAGCGTCAACACCTCAGCTTGTGGTACCGATGGACCGAATTGCACCTCCATGTCGCTCGGACAATGACAAGAGTATGACTTGGATTGGAATTTGCGACATGCTTATCAGCCGCGTCATCAAGCCAAAATCTAGTCTCGTTTAAAAGGCCACTCAAAGCAACACACACGCTTGTGCGACGAGGAAGCGATTCTTGACGTGGAGGAAGAAGGACAGTCCCGACGTAAAAAGAAGACGACTTAAGGCATTTAAAGCAAATTTGCAACTGAATTAGAATAAGTCATGGTTCATAGCTACATGCGAAATTCTCAAGGAATTAGAGATTTTGCTACTAAATCCTTGGGCTCCTGATTTATAAATCAATAGTGCACAAAGATTGAACCTCAGCTTGCCCTTATACAAACCTTGGGTGTATATAGCTTGTCTTGAACTCCAACTTTCGCGGGAAATATCCAAAAGAAGTAAGTGCAATTCTACAGGACACACGTCGATCTCGTCACCAGTACATATCCCTAAGTAGAACCCAACATTTTTTACCGCACAGAAAGTTTCATATATGATGTCAAGTATGCATATGAGAGTACCATACTGGATTAAATTTCCAGAAGGTACCTTCATGTAATGGCTTAGTGAAGCCTATTACACAGGTGGTCTATCTTGTGCGTACCCTGACTGCAAGAAAGTCAAGACTTCTCGTCATTTTTTCTCTGACTACCCCTTATTTAGATGTCCTATCGATTGCATGTAACATTTACCAATCTTTGTTCAACCTCTCTCAAACCTTCCAAGGCTTGTTACCGCGTCTACTTTGTTTTCGAGGCTGGTTTAACTACCCTATATTATTATGACTTCTGCGGATACCATTTTTTGGGGTGGCGTGATGATTTTTTTGAAAATTAATTTCGGAATTCAGTATCTATAGAAAAGGATCCACGTTGATCGAATCTCAGGTATGCAGGTGACAGACTTCGCGAGTTTGCGCACAAATACTACATGAAATTGCTGCGTATACACGTGATAAACTCGATGCATTTGTTTGAGGTAGTCGGTCAGGAACTGCACAATAATGGGCGTCAACAATACCTAGCACAATTCTACCATAGAAGGATAAACAACGCTCAAGTAATCATTTTAAGTTGCTCACCGGCATGATCCTGAAATGCTTATTTACCATGCGTGAGAGCGACAAGGATCCTCAAGCTCTCCAGGCCTCAGTGATTGGGATGACAATGAGATGGATATTTGCAAGCAAGCGGGTTTGATCGAAGAGCAAAGCTTTCGCAGTAAAACCAAGGTAAAGGAGGCCGATCGAGTTCTTGCTGAGACTACGAGCTGCTTACCTTGCCGTTACTGTGCTAAACAGCTCGCTGATTTTGGTAATTTGGTGATGTAAAGCGAATACAATGAACATTGAATGAAATTAAAACAAGGTTTTGACCAAATCATGCCTACATCAGTTGAAACTAATAAATTCTATGCAAGGGATACGTTACCTTCCTCACGCGAGCCACCGAGGGCTCCGAAGCCTTTTGAGAAAACGCCAAATTGAGTTTTGACTCGTCGAACTTTAAATTCAAGTTGAATTATTTCTGTGTTTGGCAATTCGCATCGCACTTCTGTACATGTCTCGCAGTTCAGATTCTGCTTCAGAGCCACCTTTGAGATTCTTGACGCTAAGACCTTCATTTAACCACGGGGCAAATAACATCTCAGATAATGCTTCACGGTGAAAGAAGTTCTCCGTAACCATTTTGCCTTTGATAAGTTCATCAAGGTCTTGTCCTTCAGGATATTTCATGGTCAAAAACTTGCGAATCAACAAAACATTCTCGAAGCGGAGATTATCAAATTGGCGATAGTAATAGAACATGGGGGCGATTATAGGGTTTGACAAAGGATCCTCATCCAACCCAAGAGTTGTAGCAAGACTTTTCAAGGACTCACCACGGGAATTCCATTCTCCAGACAGACGCTTCACCAGCGGTTCAAATATATTAATGTCTTCTACTCTCATTTCTGCAAGCAAACTCGCAATCTCTTCGTCACTCAACCTCGGTTGCAACTCAGCAAACAACTGTTCTCCTCTCTCGTCACTTGACCGGACATGCTCAGTAGTGTACACCAGAAAAGTCCAGAGATGAGGGCTGGTTAAAAGTTCTTCGTGTTCCAATTTCTCCGTATCTGTAAGAAATAAAAGTGTTTGGGGCGAAAGACCACAATCACTCCAATGCATGCGCAATCCTTCGAAAAGATTTTCCGCAAACGATATCATTCTTCTCGAAGGCGTTTGCGCTCCATGTTGGATCAGTGTTTTGAACCGATTTATGGACGATTTGTCAGTTCCAAACACATTCAGAGCAAGTAAATCCGCCAATTGTTTATCCCTTTCAGGGATGGGTGGCATATACTCGTCAACATTCTTTTCAATTGCCACCAGCTCAACACCAGTATCACTCTCAACCAGTCTGGAAGTAACAATCACTCCAGCCAACTCCTTATAGATCATGACGGTATTGTCTGCTGAAGTAAGCGATCCATGCTGTTAAAATTTCATTTTCGAAACACTCCATACTGATGGAGAGATCCGGTACCAAAATTTTGTAGAGCCCAGCAAAGCTGACCGACCGAATATCCCAGTCCAAAAACATACTATCCATTATTTTTCGTGGGATAGAATCGGGTTTGGTCATTGCTCCAGCATCCAGCAACTTTGAAACAATTACATGGTCGCGCAGGCCTTGTTCCTTCATCTCGAAAAGCAAAGTTCTGAATGGATCTAGACGGGATGTCATGTCGAGATATTTGATGTACAACGGCAAGTGCGGGCTATCCAAGAAATTGGGACTGCTGAGGTCCAAGCTCAAACTCTTTTTTGCCTGCTCCGAGCTCACACTCATTTCTTTCCACGAATAGAGAAGATACGGCTCAAGTGCAAGCACGCTTGGCCTCAGACGTTTGAAATCCTTAGCCTCATCGTCGCTAAGAGCATTTTGTGGTCGTGTTGTAGCGCTTACAAGGGTCTTCCCACGAATCTTGATTTCACCCTCAGCCCTGAGCTCTCCAATACTTCGAGCTAAGGACTCGAGCATTTCATACTCTTTACCATGAGCCGCACGAATGAGTTCGTTAAAAATCGCATCGGTTGATTTGGATTTGATGAAGAACGCCTTTTTGATCATATCTGCAACTTGAAGGAATTCAGCACTCTTGAAAAAATCCTCTTGAACAGGATTGATTTCGTTCTTGGCAAACAAACGGCTTACAAGTTTGTCTTTGTTGAAAGTTAGCCGCATTTTGACATCGCTCAAAACCTTCCGCTGAGGTTGCACAATCTGATCAAGCCAAGCTGCAAGCCTCTCGTCGTTGTAGTCAGGGTCGTAAGGCACCATCTGCTTTAGGAAACGCTGACCAGATTGAGCACTAGCGTCCTCTGGGGCCGGCATGTAAAACGTGAAACAAACCA